TTTGAACATTGAGCGTCCCACGTGGGCTTCATCAAGCACTACCCCATTTGATTTCTTTTCCTTCCACGATACTCTTAGCAGTCTCATAAGAAACCACATTTCTGTTGCTTCTATTTTATTTTCATTGCCTTTAGTGATTGTCCAGCATTCACAGCCATACAGAAGGGTTGACCAAACATAGCATTTCAGAACTTTCATTTTGGTGTTCATTGAGATGTTTCTATTTCTCAGGATTGGGCTCATTTTATTGAAACTAGCCTTAGCCATAGTAATTCTCCGTCTTATTTCTGTGGAACATTTGGTTTCAGATGTTATCATATATCCTAGATATTTAAACTGTTGGACTTGTTTGATCTTTTCACCTTTGCTAATGAGATTACAACAAGGCTTTGCAGCTTTTTTGGGATATTACCGTGCATTCTGTTTTCTTTACATTCAACACTAATCCTTTACGTTCACTTTCTGTTACAACAGTATCTAGAAGCAATTGAAGGTCCCTTTCTGAGCGTGCTATCAAAACTGTGTCATCTGCATACCTGATGTCATTAAACTTTTCTCTATTTACTTTGAGACCTGGACATTCTTCTGTGTTTCGAAGGATTGTTTCACTGTACATTTTAAAGAGGTCTGGTGACATAACACATCCTTGCCTCACTCCTCGCTTAATCTGCTTATATTCACTGTATTCTCCACTAATTTGTACAGCAGCGTTTTGGTCCGAGTACAAATTCCAGATAATTCTTAGATCTTTTCCATCTATGTCTAGCTTTTACACAGCAGAAATTTAAATGGGCTGATTTATCAATGCCATGCTCATACTGTGCCGGAATAACATAGGGGAATTGCTGTTTTTAGTTTCCTCATCCTAACTACCGTTATTTTTCTCTACTTCTTTTGTAGGTTTGTAATTCTCTTGTGAACTTCTATTTCGGGGTGCCTTGATAGTCGAAGCAGGCTTTGTGCTGTTGAGGCTAGAGGTCTGAGCAGAGTAAGCCTGATTCCTCGTTTGGACTTCTGTGTTGACATCCACCTCTTGGCGCTCATATGACCTTATGCAGTTGCGGGCGTCGTAAAAACCTTACTTTAAAATAAAATCTCCTTCTGAAGCGCTAACGTCCTCACTTTGTCAAATATCTATGCACAAGCGTCATGGTGTAGAGGCAAGACGTTTCATCACCGGGCATTGGAAGCGTGAGTTCGTTTTCTGTGTGGGAGATGGGTTTTTTCGAGTACATTGTACCTAAGAGGGTGTGGTGGCGGAGCAGTTAGTGCGCTCATCTCCGAAGCGGAAAGCCTAGGTTCGAGCTTCGGTTCGGACACGGATTTTTTTGCCCCCACCTGCCCACCCAACAGTAATGGGTACCTGACTTCGAGTTGGGGAAGTAAAGGCGGCGTGGAAAGGAACTGGCCACCCTACCACAATATGCCGAAGGCACGGGAAGTTGTCTCACTAACAAGGCAATCCACAATGTCCGGATCGGATGCGGGAACAACTTTATTTTTTACCTCCGTCTGTCTGCTGAAAAATGATATCCCTCTCAACCCGGGCTGGCCCTGACAGGTAGGATTGAAGCAAATTGTTTGTTGAAATGGTCTGGGTTTTATGGATGGGGTCGAAGTACACGTAAAATATCTATAAACTAAATTACAACTTTAATTTTCCAGACCATTGCCGCGGAGGGAGTGAACATCACAGACAAAGACATTAGAGTTGCCAACGGTTTCGTCCAGGGTATTGATAACGTCATGCAACCACCTAACGGAGACGTTGTGGACATCATAAACAACATGGACAATACAAAGATGCTCGCTGGCCTCATCAACTCGGCGGGACTTGAATCTGCTATAAGAGGTCAGGGAAGATAAGATAAGATAAGATAAGATAAGATAAGATAATATAAGATAAGATAAGATAAGATAAGATAAGATAAGATAAGATAAGATAAGATAAGATAAGATAAGAGATTCCCGAATGGGGAGAATCTGTATCGAGTATCTTGGTCTTTCTACCGGGATTCCTCTCAGCCCGGGTTAGTACTGACAGTCAATGTCGAAGCCCACCTCCTTGATGAACTAAATTGCGTCGATGGGCCGTAAAAACACCAATGTGTTTGTAACTAAAGAACAAAAGTATCCATGACGTTATTCAAAATCTGATTCTTGGGAAACAAGTTAAAGTTTTGGTTTCCTTAGACATCGATTTGTGAATTTGGGAAAAGAAAGGTTTTGATAAAATTGTAAATGTGAACAGCAAGTAATTTTGGAGTACGAGCTGCTGTTGTTACTGTCTTCGATAAAGCAATCTGGTTCTTCGTCGTTGCACGCAGTAGACACGATTTCATGTCGCTCAATTCTCGTCTGGGGAGAAGTTTTATCGAGTGCATCGTCTTCCTGCTGGGATGTTATATACCTCTCAGCCCGGATTGTCTCTGAGAGGCAAGGTTGAAGCCCGACTGCTAATGATCTTAATTGTGTAGATGAGAATGTAAAATACATACACTGAATTGAAACACTGCTCCAGGCGTTACCATCAGTATCCATTGGCGTAGACAATGTTTATAAAAGAGATTATAATTCTTACATGTTTCTTAAGTGGGTTTTGATTTGTCCTTCACCACCCCCCCCCCCCACTCCCTTCCAGCTGACCTTAACATCACCGTGTTCGCCCCAACAAACGATGCCTTTGCCAAGCTGGACCCACAGGTTTTGACCTACCTGCAGAACAACCCGAAGGCGCTGACAGGTGATCCCTTCTCGAGTCCAGTACTCTTTTAGAGCTATGCTATTTCTTAATAGTTTTTATACAGGCGAATTAAAAGAAGGTACCATTTTTGATTGTGTAAAAAGTCTAGTGTTTTGAGTCTTTGCGCTTTTCTTTTCATATAAGTTATACTTAGTACTTTAAAAAGTAAGTCATGTTATAAAAAATACATTTTTGTATTTCAATTTTCTTGACCACGTGGTAGATGTTGCTATTATTTTTAAAAAATGAAATCTAGGTCTGTGTGTATTAAAGGCCGTAGATGGTAGGTGTAACTCAACATCAGAGAAACGAATAATCGGCATGCTCCATGCGTTGCTGTTGTTGCCAGGTCATTCAACGTCAACAGAAAAAACAGACCTTATGTGTTTCCCCACTTGCCTACATTGGTTCTAAAAGGCATAGCTTGCCAACTATAATAATATTATAATATAAATTATGTCGATGTGGGGGCTCAATAGTTACAATCAATCATATCTACTCTTTCATAATTCATGGGCTTACAGCCAGAAGCGATCATATCCATTTTGGCCAAAATGCCAACAATATCATGATGAAGGCATTCACACGATATTACATCATGTCTGTAAATATCAAACCAATACACCAAGTAGATTTAGTTTTTGCCACAATCGCCAATCGCAATTTCCGTTGTGTCCATGTGCAAAAGTTACCTATTACACCTTGCTTTATAAATCCATTTTTCCCAAAATAAGGAATGTGGACATAGTCACTTCTAGCCCTCAGCCGACCATGTATGTGTATGCCTCGAGAAAGGTCTAAGTTGTCGAAAATTTTGAACATTAAAATAAGGGCATATTCTTGTAGCAAATTCTATGCGGAACACACAGATTTTTAAAATTTTTTTTCCCAATCTCGAGTAGTTTTTAACATACCACAAGTTGTAGGCTTTAATCTTCGTATGTTGACCCAATTTCTAGCACATTTGAAACCTCTGGTGAAGTGCAACAGGTTGCAATAATAATTAATAAAGAAATATTTAGACTTTAAATAACTAATATTATTCTTTTTAACATGTTATTAAGAAATGGTTAAACGTCTAATAGAACTAAACTTTTGACCAGGTATGACTTTTTTGGCCTTTCCTCCCCTTTCCACAAAAATAGCTTTGCCGACAACTGGGACCTTTCTCCACACACACACACACACACACACACACACACACACACACACACACACACAC